CAGGAATTTGGGCTGATGGAGCTGTCCCACCCGCTGGTCTGCCTGTTCATTTGTTTGAAGAATTCATTCTATTTGCTGAGATCAACCTGGATCGTGCCCGTAGTGTAAACGCTAAAGTGGACTCATAGCATTCAGGACTGATATGCTGGTCGGCAGCCTCGCATCGTTATGGAGACCGACCAAAGTACAGGCCGGGACTGTGATTGACATTGGACTTTAGCTTTAGTCTAGAACAGGTGAGTCATATGATAGCTAACACTTCAATCAACCCCCTATCAGGTCACTTACCTTATCATATCGGGGCCAGTGACACTTAAATGTAAGGTACATAGCAAAGTTTGGCTGCTATTTTTAGACTTTGCAGACCAAGGCCTTTGCAAATTTTAGCTCCCTTTAGCTCACTACAACCTGACCCCAGATAAGTGGTTGATAACGGATGGAGTGATGAATGGAACAAGAAATCATATGTATTAAATATTCAGGCTTCAAGCTTCAAATGGGGGAAAAGGTTTGCTGTGTTTCCTGTCTCACAGGTGTACAGATCACTGGCATATTTTACACTCTGCTGTTTATCCAGTTTTACAAAAACAAAATCATCAATGTTGTGTGACTCTTCACCACGGTTCCATCGCCCTATGTAGTTGTCTGACTCTCCTTGCTCACTTTTACATTTCCAATGTGTTTTCCTTGTTTTTGCCCTTCACATGTCAGTTGCTGTGTTCTAATAGGATGAAAACACCAGGTATGGTCCTTTAAATGTTTGGCTGATATGTCTGCTTACACATAACCATTAATTAAACACCACAGAGGTGAGACTCAGAACAAAATTAGGAAGTCAGCTATCCCTTTGACTGCCTGTCTCAGGATCACACTTTAATCATCTTAAAGGAGAAATGCATGCAACATCTTCAGAAGCTGTGTGGGAGAGTATGGCACCTACCATTTGTCAGTTTACTGAGAGTAACCTCGCAATCTACAATTCTTTTGATTAATAAAATAAAAATCCAATACAAGTATGTGTGCTGATTCAACTAAGCCACTGAAATAAAGTCAAAGTCCTACCTACCTACCTAAACACCCACAAAGCCACTAGAGAAGCTACGTTACTTGGTATAACTAGATTATATTTTTCAACTTCTAGGGTTATCCATTCCGCTCATGGGGGCAAATTGCATGTTTCTCAATTATTATATTTCCTAATGGACAGGACGTGACTTTTTTTTTATGAAGACAAGTGTTACTCAAGATGAGCTGTTGTTTTGTCTGTCATCATATTCAACACCCACCGCTGGACTGAATTGAGAAATTAAACATCCAGTTACATAAACCTCAGTGGACGCTGACCTCTGCGCCGCCAGCGTGTTCAGTGTCAAAATAATACTTAAACATTCACAGACGCTCACAAGAGACCATTCAATCTGACCATAAAACGCCCCAGGAGGTGAAATGTGACAGTGCATCATGTTCCCTCACAGGTCTGTGATGACCTGACCCTCACAATGGGTGTTCATAGCACAGCATTATGTGGTGGAAAGTGCACCTTCATGCGTGTCTTGTGTAGTCAAACCAACTACATGAAGATGGATGGTGTCATCCTGCCTATGAAGAGAAACTTAATGAAAGCAATCATTGCCTGTAGTTTCCAGTTTTGGGGAAACGGGTGTAAATATAGAAAATCTGAACTTAAACACGTGGATTTCTGTGGGTTGGCTGCATGGACTCCCTGCTGTCAAGGCCTCTAATAAGGCTATATGTTTCTATTGAACAATTTATGTTTGGGCTCAGGTTTGAGCAAGTTAAAAGTTTCTAAATACATGCATTTCTTTAGACACTTCTAAAGTATGTTTTAGCCTAACTAGCTGCCATTATATCCAAATGTTTTGCATAATATTGCAAGAGATGAAGCATCTGTCTACTTGATGGATATATACATCATTATGATTTACATCATACATATGTATAAAAATAGTTATTAGAGAAATGACACATCTGCTGTGTAACCTTGAACTGCAGAACAGCCACAACTTCCTTAGCGACCGTAGTGTGTTAGATGTATTTACAGCTGAACCAAAGGCAGGCTCAACCCTTACTGTTCCCAGCTGTTAAAACCACCAGTGCCTTAATGACACTGTCCTTAAGCAACTCCTCAGTTTGGTGCCAAATGCTGGTTCCTGGCTGCCACTATACTTATTTCCAAACCAGTCCCAAGGACCAAAACCTCTATGCAGTATATCCAAACTGTAAATTTCAGAGTGGGGTAACTGCCGCAATCTTTTCCAACTGTTTATCACTTGACGGATGTAGGGCTGGGGTAACAACCAACAGTGCCTGGACATATTAAACCGGAAAGCCCCTTTATGAGTCACCTATATGGCCTGTACAAGTTATGTACATTACAAGTGTGCCCAACACACACAATGCATTTATTAAGTGGTCTGATGCACATTCTACTCCAGAGATAAAAAATATTGTGCGTGTGAGAGCGTGTGCATGTGCAGCACAATGTACATATCATGGCTAGTGCCAAACAGAAGGCCGTTCAAATGATTCCGTTCTGCTCTACCAGATGCTTTGTCCGTTGAGACTGTGCCAAGATACTACCGCTTAATCCCCTGGCAACACTAGGGCACAAGCACAACAGACTGAACTTTGACTGACCACCAACAGTACAGTGTGTCCAAGAAAGATAACGCATGTTACATGCTGTGCTGATTTAGGAGGACAGAACATATGCTACAACATACCATTCCCCCCATGGATTTAAATTGTACTATGTTTGATGTGCAAGAAACACTGTGAATTCTTTACATACTATAGATACTACAGATTGATTTAGGTGTTATGAACAAAAATGCCACATTTTCTGGCTCCTGCTTCATATCATGAGCAAATGAACATCTTTACATTTCAGACTGTTGGGCTGTTCTTTGTTTTTCTTCAAAACAGGATTTTCCAAAATCACTTTGAGAGAGTTTCTGCATTATTGAAAAACAGCAGAATAAGGTAGTGCCAGTGTGCAGAAGTCACCAAAACTGAGAGGAAAACTAGGTAAAGCTGGGAGCCTTCCTCTCTGTTCTGACACCTGAGTGTATCTTATTTCATTTTACAGCACTGGACACGGGAGTCCTGAGCTCCCCCTTTCTGGCTGCCAAACCACATGCCAGCCTACGTGTTTGAGGGGAGGCATGCAGCACACAAGCAGAGTGACAGGACAACACAAATGTGCCACTGTAGCAGGACCACTGTGCATGAGAAAGACCAAAATGTCCTTCTGGCTTCCTAATGCAGTTAGTACAGTACATATGCAGCTACAATACAAAGATCTTGTAGTTTGTAGGCAAAGAGCCATTTAAAAAACTTCATGTAGTATTTATATACTCATGCATCACCCCATAAAACGCAATCATGTTTGAATTAAAACACTCATTTGGGTTTGCTTCTCAATAAGTTTTTCAAAAGCCGAAAGAGTTGGTTTAACCTCACTCTGGCAACAATAGTAACCTTAATCCAAAACAGTCTTTGCCCTTTTGTATCTGTCAAGCTAATAAGCGCTGTCAATTCCACACAAACATTAGAAGCGAAAGACAGTGAGCTCCGTCAGTAATAGAATTAGAATGAGAGAGTAGATAAGACAAGGATAGGTCATTGATGAGGATTTCTTCAGGCCTTGGCTCACGTGGTTGAGGATCAGACTTTGCTGCCAACGCTTCAATTTGACAAGGAAGAGCAAGTCTTCTGATAAAAGAACGGTCTTAGACAGGCAGGGTGTTGAAGAGGTGTCTTACACAAGCAGGCCAGAAGCAGAGGATTGGTTGAAACAAGGAGGTTGTGGTGAGAAAAGCATCTCTTCGAGAGGCCAGACAGGTCCCACACAAACTCAGCATCCCTCCTCAGTCATTAGTACAGACAATCTCCTGGCCAGAGCTGCTTAACTTAAGTCTGGATAGAGGGCCCCAATCCTATTCGACCCAGACAACCGTTACCTTAAAGAAGGCTCAAAGGGGAAAAGACCTGACCCAGATGAAGGTCTAACCTGGCTGACTGGGGACACAGTTTGCAAAAAAAGACTGTATAAGAGAGTACAAACTGCAAGAACATCCCTTCTAATGCTAAAACCCAGTTTTACTGACCGAAAACAGCACTGAGCTAAAAATACGCATATGTGTGGGTGTTTTACAGGTACTCACAAGATGGTGAAATATGGTCCAGAAAGTCTAATAACATATCAGTGAGTCTAAAGGCTTATGAAACACCAAAACAGTACCGGTAGTCAGTTGTTTATAATACAAGGAGGGACGTTACAGCTTTGGAAAGTTATCACAGTGGCAATACTTTTATCCTCCAGCTCAATGATTACAAAGTAAACAAACTTTTATTTACAACATAATCTATGAATATGTCTACAAATGTGTGATGATGTGCTGCTTTGTGGCCATACACAGAGCCAAATGTAACTTTTTTTTTGCCAGAGCTCTCTAAGGTTCCTTGTTGTGCCAGCTCAAATGTTCTGTTGCAATGTACTGCATGTTAGTATATTTTTAATTCCACATGTAACCATCTAGAACAGATAAGCATGTTTGCCTTTAAATGCGGTTGGAAGACCAGGGCCGGCCCGTGGCATAGGCAGTATAGGCAAATGCTAAGGGCGCCAGAAATGGAGGAAGAAAAAAAGTGTAACTTCCACTATTCTTAAAACTAGACTTCAGAAAAGAATACGCCAACCACATTAATTTAACTGCATAGCAGCAAAGCCTACTAAGTAGTAGTAGTAGTAGTAGTAGTAGTGTAATAATAATAATAATAATAATAATATAGCCTACTTGCCTAAGATGAATTTTATCTTTTTTTTACTGTACTGTAGTGAAGTAAGTTTCCACAAAGAAAAGTATATATATTGCAAATGGGGTTAAACGATTAATCAAAGGGTTGTTTAAAACGGCACCACTTTGTGACAGCTTATAATCTACAACTATAAGCTTCTAAAGTAAACTCAAAACACTTATTACTATCGTGCATCTTAAATTCTTATTAATAACAGACCAAATAATACATTATTTAAATGATGTTACTTTTCTTATTGCACATAAGAAGAGAAATAACTGAACAAAATGCAAGGGTTACAGTCTGTGTGGATGAAGATGTTTCAGCTGGCCCTCCATTTACTTTTTCTGTAAAAGTACAAAATTATCTGATTTCATTTTATCTTGCTGATCGTGGAATTGTGGAGCCATTGTGGAGTCAGGATTAGATTAGATTAATCTTCTGTACCACTTCTTCTTCTTTGTCTTTTGAGAAAGCTGGTTCTTGATCTCTTCCAGCTCGCCCTTCAAACAGCACTCTTTTGACTCCCACTCCTGCTGTTTTTCCTGCAGCAAGCGGCGGTGCTCTTCCAGCTCACCCTTCATATAGCGCTCTGTTGACTCCAACTCCAGCTGTTTTTCCTGCAGCAAGCGGCGGTGCTCTTCCAGCTCACCCTTCATATAGCGCTCTGTTGACTCCAACTCCAGCTGTTTTTCCTGTAGCAAGCGGTGGTGCTCTTTTTCCACAACTTGGAGGGCCTCTTTTTCTTCCTTGAGTTTCAGTTGGAAGTTGTGAAAGTTGTTTTGGGATTTTTCAAGTTTGTCCAGGAGGGAAAATCTCTCATTGAGCCACTGGAGATGTTTAGTCCTCATCTGTCTCTCTGCATCCGTCACAGCAGCTGTCAGCTGGTTATTGTCCTTTTTTAAATTGTCAATGTCAACCTCATAGGAGGCTCTGGATTTTTCCATGTTCTCCACCAGGGAGTTCTTCTCTTCCAGCAAGCGGCTGTACTCCGTCTGCAGAGCATATGCCTTTCTGAGGACAGCACCAATCCTTTTTGTCTCCACTCTGTGTTTCTCCAGCTGGGCTTTCTGGGAGGCCTGGGCACTTCTGGTGGCTAACATCTTTGCCTCCAGTTCCTTTTAAAAGAACTCTTTCTCTCCCTTGAGCAAGTCCAGCTGATGCTCTGCACTTTTCAGACAAGTTCTAAGATGATTAATCTCATCATGTTGGGCAGGGCTGCAGCTCTGGGACTTTTCCAGCTCTGCCTGGAGGGAAACCTTGTCCTCCTGCCACTGGAAATATAAGGTCTTTGCCAGCTCTTGTGCCTTCTTTAAATCAGCCGCCATCTCATTAAGATCAGTCACACTGGAAGCTTTACATTTCTTTATGTCTTCCATGAGGGAGAATTTCTCTTTCTCCCATTGTTGGCGGCCATTCAGGAGCTTTTCTCGAGTTTTTTCTAGAGCTGCAAGGAGGTTGTTGTTCTCATTTTTGAAAACGTTAAGCTCCTCCAGCAGGGAGGTTTTCTCCCGATGGAAACGCAGGCGTTCATTTTCAAGAACGCCTGTGTCTTTCATGCGTTGGGCTTGACGAGAAGCCTGGGCTCTTGCTGCGACTGACTTCACCGTCTCCAGTTCCTTGTGAAGGTCCTCATTCTCTCTTTTCATGACCTTCACTTTGAGCTGCAGGTCCTTGACGACTGCAGTCTGTGCCTGCGATTTCTCAGCAGCTCTCCATGTAGAGCAATTTCTTTTCTGAGCTTTGTCCAGCAGGTCTTTCAGGTGGCGTACCTCATCCACCAGCACCTCTCTTTCATCTTTCAGCTGTTGTACCTCATCCACCAGCACCTCTCTGTCATCTAGGTACATTGCCAACAAATCCTCTCGAATATCCAAGTTGAGTCTCCCCTCAGTACCTTCGGAGAGCCTCACCTTGCTGTCCTTCAAATGTGTCCTTACTTGATCTTCCAGGACACTATAGTAAAAACTCGTGGTTGATGGTTCTACTTCCAGGAAGTTCAGCTCCATTTTTTCCACTTGTTTCTTACAAATGAAGAAAATATTCTTCAAATATTCTTCACTTTTGTGTGTTGTTTTCTGTTATTCAGACTATCTCTGTAATCACAAGAATGTGTGCGTGCTACGCTGTTATAGAATGGTCTGGCCAGTTAGTTAGATTGAGTCCCTTAGGTAGGGTCTCAGTGACGTCATTGTGACGTCATCATGGCTGTCCTTTGATCTGGTTCGTGCTAGGTTCCAGTTTGTTTATATATGAATATAATAAAATCTCATCTATATTAAAATTATTATTAATA